GCTCCTACATCTACTCAAAGGGCCATGGTGATGCACACAGGAGCACCGGCACATTCACACACACACACACACACACACACACACACACACACACACACACACACGTGCTCACAGATAAACACACACACGCGCACACACACACGCAGGTCCGCGGGTGTTAGCTTTATCTGCAGCAGATAAAAATCAGGTGATAAGCTAATTGGAACCGAGATTCGAGTGTATCCGACAGTCCAAACGACTTGTTCCAAGCATGACTGAGTTCTTCACGGACGACCTATCATGGAAGGACACAAATCTGGCTCTGTTCGGGTCGGATGAGGATAGACGAGTGAAAAGTGAGTGTCTTCTGTTCTGGCTTTCTCTCTCTCTCTCACTGTATTGATAAACGATGCAACGAAACCAAAGGTTTCACGGTACTCGTTTTTGCATCACATTTTAACCCGTTACCAGTTAGAAATCATGTGTCTGGGAAGGGAAGAAACATTTTATCGTCTGAATAACTTTTTCACGCATGATAGCCAACAGTTCTAACAATTTTTTAGCCCGATAGGCCACTTAACATCTAGAGAAGCATTCTGGAGTGTGCGTTAAAGAAAAAAGAATCACCATAGAAAATTGTTCACATCTGAGAGGTGGAGCGCGCGTTGAGCCGCGTCGCATGAGGTTACTGTTTGAGCGATTGTTCTTTTGTGTGGCTTTCTTCAGGCTATAAATCTTTCACCATAATGAGCTCGCAATACTTTTATGGCAAGTGCTCATACATTTATCGGATTTGACCATAGCTGAAGTGTTTGCGGTGTGAACAGCGGTATCAACTGATTGACGTTTTTATTGCTGGATCAGAGTCTCACTTCCCGTGATCTTTGGCCCTCCAGTGAGCAATTTTCCCTGTTATTGGCTGTAAAGTATCAACGATGTAACATGAAGACAGCAGCGCCAATGAATCAGGGCTGTTCATGCAAATGTACGCGCAGTATCAGTGGCCACACACACACATACAGAGAGAGAGGGCATAAATCAATGGGAATAAGATGATGTTTTGTGTCAGACAGAGGCACACACACACGCACGCACGCACACCAATCTGATGGTGACTGGTTTTTCCGTTCGGTATATTAGTTTGATGAAAGCAGACTTGCTTTCAATTTCCAGCGAATCGGGCATCTGATCTGTTCTCCTCATCTACTGACGTAATCAACGAAACCGGCTCGTTGAATTGTTTCGTTGTTTCACCAATTTCACATCTGACCAATTGGATAGAAAAGGGGAGTGGTGTGTGTAGGGTGAAAAGCCGATTTGATCCGTCCGGAAGTAGGCATTTTCGGGTGGATTCGTTTGCTGTTCCCAAATAGGACAGTTCGGACATTGCAGTCTCCCGCAAAATCCCGAGCCTCGTATAAGAAAAGTACCAATACAAGTCAGATGTTCTGAATCTTTTCAACAACCCGCAGCGTCAATTCAGATGGGATGAATGACTTTTTCAGTTCGAAGTGAAAGCCAGAGAACAGATTAGCGTTGCATTTTCACGACTGATTCTGTCCACGAAGCTGTACATGTGAGGGTTTGCAAGAAAATGACCTCAAAAGTTTTTCCATCGGTCATCATTGCTGCTAGTCTGTCTGCTAGTAACACAGATCCACAAACAAGTGTGTGAAACACTGAAAAAGGGAAATCGCATGTGTATATATGTGTGTGTGTACACAATAGAGGTGAATTGAAACTCCTCCCGTACACCCCAGATTTCGCTTTTAGATTTCGTTCTTTTCGCCCATTTCTGTGCACTGGAACTAATGAATGCACTGTACATCAAAACAAAATGAAAAACGATTTCATTCTTATGGATAAATTTACCCTTTGATTGGCTATTTGGTTTTTTGNTCGGCTTTGAGGTAATTGGTTCACCTCAATTTCGTCGCTGTCTGATTGAAAAGCTTGGAATGATGGTGGTTCTCGATTTGTTCTCCTTATCCTCAACTTAATTGTTCTATGTGATGCCAGAAATTTGCAAAACATGCACTCAAACGAACACAAGCAATATCAAGATAAGCCCATCACAAATCTGTGCAATATATCGATCTGAAAGTGCCTGTAACAAGCCGGAATCACGGTCCGATCGTGATGATTACGATGTTGGAATGTCATGTATTTGACCGGAAACTAGGTTACAGTTCGGTGGTTATTAGTCTCTCTCCTGACAAGAGCTTGGCTCAGTAGTCTGTCAGGTTGAGAGAGTTGCAAAACATTAAGTAGATTGTCGACCGACAGCTCAGCCGGCATTCATGGCAATGGGTGGTACCAGGTCTGAGAGAGCTTATGCACATGACGTAAGCTTACACGCAGACGCACACACACACACAACGGAATGCGTGCTTCAATCACCCATAGTGTCTGCACATTGATAACCAACCCTGTGGTGTGCATGAATAGGTCTCCTTGTGGGCAGTCGTATGAGCATAGTTCGTGTGTGTGTGTGTTTGTGTGTGCTCATTCGCACCATTGCTTGTCCATCAGAATTCGTTTAGTAATGTACTTTTAGATTGCACCTAGACCGGGGGAGCTATAGTTGCCCAGCTGGTGCCGGGTGACGAAACCCTGTAAGCATTTGTGTCTGAGTTGCATCGGTCTCGTTCGACGGGGTTCAGAAAGACACATGAGCGTGCTCGCAGATGTACCTACGTGCATGTACACATCTATAGTGATGGAGGAATTACTTCGCCGCAGATCTAGGTATGAATCAGGACTCTAACGAAGGATCTCGTGGTTCGTCTAAGGGCGTGCTGCTTGACTGAGTGAGGTACAAATGATTATTCCAACTGATATTTCGAAGAACACATCAACCACGAAGTCTGGACTGTCAAGAGCTGGTTGGGTTGAATCGATCGAAGCTTCCGTGTTCGGAGGCACTGAGTCAATTAGCCAAATATTGTCTCTACAGCTTAGATGTTGGCAGTCAGAACTGTTGGAAAGAAGAACTGAAAATAATAAACGTTAGTCAATGGTACTTACCATGTGAAAAGCGAAGATGTAATTGATGTGACCATGCTAGACGACGATTTATGATACAATTTAGTGTAGGATTCATCCTTTTCCGATAAAACAACAGTTTTCGAAATCAAAATTGGTTTCTTGTTATTTTTTCCCTTCATCAAGAGGATGCCGCCATGATGGAAGAAGCTTGGATTCCTGTCTTGCGAATACACGGACCTCAACTGTTTGTCTGGCGTATTGAAGTAAGCATTCAACTGCGTTGAGCATTTATTATGAACACAGCTCCTTAATGTTTTTTTACATATCACACAGTGTCACGACATTGCAATGTGAGTTTCTGGAGCGAATTTCATGCAGAAACCAACTTTTTCGAGTAAAATGTGCAACTAAAAGCATTGAGACGCTGAGCTTTTATTGATACCCAATGTGAATGTGGGTTTGATTCAAGTCAGCTGAGAATTCGAATTCAAATTAAGTGCATAGAAAACGCACAGTCGAAGTTGTCACTCCTCTATCTATCTCGGCGTGTGATTGGGATAGGTAGAATCAATCAGAACCATGTGACTCTAAGTATGATTGATTTTTGACACACAAAGCATGCTCATACGAATAAGTCAGCTCCGTAAATTACCAATGAAAATGTGTTAATAAGTTTAAAAATCATAACAATGACAAAGCGTCATCCACTCAACTCTGTCAAACCTTGCACCAGAATGCACACGTGTTTGGGG